ACAATTCAAACCACTCATGAACACCGACTCCCATAATACACCTCACTGCCCTCTCCTGATTTCTGTTCTCCATCTTATGGACTTTCATTTTCCTTTACACTCAAGTCTGGACTGCTCAGCCTTCTAGTACATTGGTTCATCTTCCTACCCATTCTCCTGAATGCAAATCTTTTCTTTTTTATCCTTTTAACTGATCTCATAAAATATTTGTCCTTTGTGATTTTTTTTTTTTTGGATATATTATTGGATGTCATTGGCTATGAGAATTTTTTTAAAAACATTTTATTAGGGGCTCATACAACTTTTATCACAATCCATACACACATCAATTGTGTAAACACATTTGTACTTCATTCTCAAAACATTTTCTCTCCACTTAAACCCCCGACATTAGGTCCTCATTTTTCCCCTCCCTCCCCACTCCCCCCTCCCTCATGAGCCCTTGATAGTTTATAAATGGGTATTTTGTCATATCTTGCCCTGTCCGACGTCTCCCCTCACCCACTTTTCTGTTGTCCGTCCCCCAGGGAGGAGGTCACATATAGTCCCTTGTAATCGGTTCCCTCCTTCCTACCCACTCTCCCTCCACCCTCCCTGTTTTGCCACTAACACCACTGGTCCTGTAGGGCTCATGTCCTTTGTGATTTATGAACTTCATTCAGCATAATATTTTGCAGGTCCATCCATGTCATGAGGTGGTTTGTGATTTCATCATTGTCTCTTAATGATGTGTAGTATTCCATTGTTCGTATGTACCATAATTTCTTTATCCATTCTTCTGCTGATGGACATGGGAGTACATATGTCTGTTCATGTTATGCCATTTACTTCTTTAGGGTGCATACCTAGCTGAGGCATTGTTGGATTGCACAAAATTTTTATTTCAGTGGTTTGAGATAGCACTATAGTACTTTCCACAAGGGTTGTACATATCTACAAACTCGCCATCAGCAGAGGACAATTCCAGTCTCTCCAGACCCTCTCCAGAATGTGTGCTTTTCTGTTGTTTAACAATTGGGTTGTCACTGTTGGTGTAAGATGATATCTCTTCATTGTTTTGATTTGTATCTCTTTGGTGAGCATTTCTTAGCCATCTCAATATCATCTTGGTGAACTGTTCATATCCTTGCCAATTTTTCATTGGATTGTTTTTCTTATTGAGCTATTGTAGTTTTTTTACAGATTTTAGAGATTAGCCCCTTTTCTGTTGTGTCTTTGCTGAAGACTTTTTCTTGGTTTGTGGTTCTATTTCTACTTTTTTGATAACATTTTTTATGCATAATGTCTTATTTTTATTAAGTGTTTATTTTGTGTTTTCATGTGCTTTTTACAAATACAATCACAGATCATCTTCAAATAGTGGGAGTTCCATTTCTTCTTTGCCCATTTGTATTCCTTTAATTTCTGTTTGTTGTCTAATTATTTTGGCTGAGACTTTGAGCACAAAATTGAATAAGGGTGGTGATAGAGGGAATCTTTGCCTGGTGTAATAGTTAGATAATTTTGTCAACTTGAAGATAAATAAAAGTTTAAAGGTGCTATCCAACTTGTCAATCAGGTTACAGCCTGATGGTGCCTCCTTAGGGGTGTGGCTTACTCGTAAGGATCCTGGGAACCCCCCACCCTCTCTGCCTTTAACATCCTGTTTCTTGGGCACCTTGAGAGCTGCCAGGGCTCCGCCATGTTTTCACTGACCTTAGATCCATGTGACTTTGCATCAACTTGCCTGTGGTCTCCCAGCATTATGCATCATTGCATTTGAAGAGGGACTTAACTACGAGTGTCAGACTTCTGGACTTGAGTTGGACTGGGCTGGGATGTTTTCTTGATATATGATTACTTCTTGATACAAAGCTCTCTTATACATATAGGAGTATCACTAGATTTGCTTCTGTAGTCACTAAGCCTGACACACCTGGTTTTCATTGAAGAATGCTTTCAGCTTTTCCTCTTTGAGCTAGATGTTGACTAAAGGTTTTATGTATATGGCCTTTATTGTATTGAGAAATGTCCCCTCTATTCCTATTTTGTTCAGCATTTTTATCAAGAATGGGTTTTGGATATTGTCAAATGCATTTTCTGTGTCAATTGATAAGTCATATGATTCCTATTTTTTGGTGGATTATTGTTATTCTAATACTGAACCATCCTTGCATACCTAGTATATATCCAACTTGACCATGATGTATTACTTTCTTTTTATAGGTTTGACTTTCTCAAATGGTTTGACTCCAGTGATGCCCCTTACATCAGACTAGCCTGGAGCACGTACACAGCCATAGATAAGAGATAAGATCTCAGGACACATGCAACCCAGGAGCAGGAACTGGAAGAGAGATACCAGATGGGAAGGGGGGAGGGGGGAGGGAGGCAAGGAAGAAGGAGGAACTGATCGACGCACAACCACACACACCCCTCCAGGGGAAAGAACAATGGAAACCATGGGAGAAGGGAGACAGTGGTCGGTGTGAGACATGGAAATAATCATTTATAATCTATCAAGGGGGCATGAGGGTTGGGGGGGGGCGGGAAATAGAGGAGCTGATGCCAAGAGCTCAATAGAAAATAACTGTCTAGAAAAAAATGATAGCAACATCTGTACAAATCTGCCTGATACAATTGATGTATGGATTGTAATAAGCATTGTAAGGGCTCTCAATAAAATTATTTAAAAATAAAAATAATAAAATAAATGTTTGAACAGAAAGAGTAAGTTTATTGAAGGAGATACTTAGAAAAGAAGCACAAAGGGCCCTTAGCTAACTTAAAAGGCCCAGTAAAACATAAAACTAAATCTTATATTTTGCTAATGGTGGATCATAGGTAGAATATTATTAGTTAAGATGCTGATTTTGGTTTTCTCCTACTTTCTCAGGTATGTGTTAATTGCTATAAATTGCTCTATGATAACTATGTCCCAAAAGGTTTTGGTATGTTATGTTTCCATTCTCATTTTGTTTCAGGAATGTTTTTATTTAATCTATTACTCGGTCACTTTTTTCAGAGTAGTGTGTTGTAGGTTGTTTTTGTTGTTCTGTTTTTGTTTTTTTTTGAGGGACTGATTGTTTATTTCAAAGGACACTTGTCAATTTTTGGTATCAAAGCAGTTGTATTATTGATTTTTCTCTCTCTCCTAGTCAGCCCCCAAATGAGACCACAAAGAAGAGCACATTTTAAGGCAATAAACTGCAGGATGCATACCCACATACCTCACAGAAACCTCACCGAAAGGGGGAAGTCAGTGGGGAGAGGACTTCATAAAAGTCACCACACTGTCAGCCTGGCTGTGAGTTCTCTCTCCAGATCCTAAAGATATTTGAGGCAGTATTATATATAGTTATTTATAGGCAGGGACATCTTTTATCATGCTGTCAAGAGCAAACAAGGTAAACTTTCAGGAGGCTATTATAGAATCTTTGGTTAAATAGCAACCACAATCTCCACTGTAAGATAGTCAAGAGGCGTTAGAAACCAAATCAGTCGAATTTAAGCAAACAGGCTTTTATTAGGGAGAAAAACCCAGCCTGGGCGAAGTCCCACAGTCCACAGTGTCTGAGCTGAGGGAGTCGCACTCCAGGCTACAGGAGTGGTGTTTATATTGCCAGGGAACATGTGACTGGGCTGTTTTGAGTCCATATAAGGTAAAGTAGTCAGGAATTGGGAGATACAGGTATGTCCAGGTTTCTGGAATGTAAGGTGTCTTCCTGGTTCCGGGTGTATTAGTGTCGGGTGCAGAGTGGTGGGCCGAAAACAAAGCAGGCACTGAGCCAAATGGGCCATGCCAGGTGCAGAGTGGCGGGTCGAGAACAAAGTGGGCGCTGAGCCAAACGGGCCGTGAACAAAACAGGCCATGAGTAAAAGAAAGAAAAAAACCTTCCAAAGCTGCTTTACATTAGCCAGCTCTGGTCAACTCTGCAAGTGTGTGGGGGAGATTCAAGGTCACTCGCTGCTAGCTGTTTCAGCCAGCTCTGGTCAGCTCTGCACGGGTTGGGGAGATTCAAGGTCACTCGCTGCTAGAAGCAGGGCTGATATTGATCCGGCCAGACATCCCCAACTCCTTGGTGATAGGGGCAATGACTCTTCTGGCTACTTCCTGCGGGTACTGGGACAGCGTAGGAGGGGCTTACGGGTTGGGAATGTCTGGCTCCTGTGGGAGAGGACTGTAAGGGTGCAATAGCATTTGATTAACGGCAATACGTGAAGTTTCTTGCATTTGGTTGTGAAGAAAGTTCAGCAAACATGGCGCCAGAAGTAGCAGAGCGCAGATGGTTATAAGAGGGGTTATTAAGGAAGCAACCCAACCAATGAATGGGTTAGACCACTAACCTCCTTGTAAGACGCTGGTGGCCTGACCAGAGAGCTTTTTCCCCAACTTATGAAGTTTGTTTATACTGGTTTCCACCAACCGGATTCGTTAACATAATAGCAACACTCCTCATTCAGGTACATACACGTTCCCCCTTTATCGGCTGTGAAGAGATCTAGGGCTCTTCTGTTCTGTAAGGCTACTTGGGCTAGGGATGTTATTTGGTGCTGTAAGAGATTTCAAGATAATGCAGTGTTTTCGATTGCTTCTTGCAATTTGGAAGACCAGCCTTGTGAAGAGCTTAGAGAGTGGGATAGGGCTCCTGCCCCCATTCCTGAGCCAACCAAGGAAGAGCCTACTGCTACACCAACCATGACAGGGAGGAATACTGCCCATGTGTGTCTGGTGGTGCCATGGGAGGGATTTTGCAGTGTGTTTACCTCAGGGACTGTGTACGTAGTTAGCTGGGGAACCAGGGTGAGTGGCATACATAGATGGGATGGGGAAGGGGTGGAAAGGTTTTTTTTGTCAGGGTGCCATTGCACCCCCCAAAAATCCACCTGGCCTTTGGGGGGCGGGCATTGAGGAGAAAAGTGAGGTTATTTGCGATGTTGTTACAACCTTGTTCCAGGTCAGAATAGCAAAACGGCCATTTTTTTAGCAGTGGATCGTGGAACAGGGGAACTCCAATTACTGGTGAAAAGGCATCTGTCTTTTCCGTGTAGTTAAGATGATTGAGGTAAAGGTATCGCTGCCAGAGGAGACCTATGGAGGGCAGCACAAAGGAAACAAGAGGAAAGATTAACCAGGTTGGAATTGTTAAGAAGGGCTGCCTCTTCTTGGATAACGGTGAGCCAAGAAAAAGGTTTTTTTTTGGACCTCTGTCCTGTAACCTGTTCTTGAAGTTTTTGTTGGGCTTTCTGGATTAGCCAGGTTTGATCTGCCAGGCCAGTGCGTACATAAGCACGATAGATATATAACCTGTGAATGGGTTCCAGAATTATCAGCCCAGGTTTTGGTAACTATGAACTGCCATCGGTGGCTGGGTGACCGCATTTCGTATTTATGGAAACCAACACCAGTTTGACTGCTGATGGGGTGGTGAGTATTACGGTGTATGGTTTTTTCCCCACCGTGGCTGGAGTCCAGGGCCAGGCATGGGACCAGTTTTTACTAGGACCTGGTCTCCTGGGGAGAGGTTAAGGGTTGGGTTCCCAGAAGAGGTGTCTTTTAGGTCTGGAAGGTGTTGGTCTGAGTATATTGCGGAACAAAGATGGAGTGGGTAAGTAAGCTTAAAGCAGAGTTTCATATTGAGGCAGAGCATAATTTAGGACAAATAGATGGTCGTATAGAATTTTGAATGGACTGAGACCCATGGGCTCCCTGGGGGAAGCCTGGAGGTGGGTTAAGGCAACAGGAAGGAGATCTGGCCAAGAGAGGCAGACCTCTAAGGAGAGCTTAGTTAACTGGGACTTTATAAGTCTGTTGGCATGCTCAACTTTGCCTGATGACTGGGGGTGATAAGGAATATGTAGTTTTTAATTCACTCCCAGGGCAGCTGAGACCTGTTGGGACACCTGCGAAATGAGGACTGGGCCATTGTTAGACTTGATAGAGTGTGGAAGGCCAAACATAGGGATTATAGATTTCAGGAGCGTTTGAGTGACAACATCTGATGTTTTCCAGCTGGTAGGGAATTATTTAATCCACCCTGAAAAGGTATTCACTAAATTTCACAAATATTTAAGATGTTTATGTTTAGGCATGTGCATAAAATTAATTGCCCAGTTCTCACCGGGGAGGTGCCCATGGAATTGGTGAAGGTTTTTTTGGAGGCTGAATATTGCTCTGGGAGAAGCGTTTGGCCCCAGGGTGGCTACAGCGGCAAAAAGGAGATGCGTAGTGTGAGGCTGCTGAGGTCTTAGGGAAATGGAGGCCTTAAGGCATTGTAAAATGTCTCATCTGAGCAGCGGAGCAGGGCATGAGGGGATGATTAGGAATGAATGGAAAAAGGGCATTGGTTTAAGACGCCGGGCAAGAGGGGGGGGGGTTGTTGGGTGTTGAGGAGGAGCCATCAATCCCCATTATAGTGACCGTGCAAGGGAGACTACACTGGCATACGGAGGAAGGATGGAATAGGTATCCCTGTGTCCACTAAAAAAGAGGTGGACTTACCCGCAACCTGGATGGTGACCCTGGGCTCGGCTAGGGTTATTGGGGTATCCTAGTGCAGGCATCTTCAGTCTTCTTCAGCAAGCCCCAGAAGCTCACCAGCCGGGAAGGACTGTGATGAGGCTCCAGCTGACCCCGGCTGTTGAGGCAGCCAGGGGAAGCACGCGAGGGGACAGACTTCCAGTGCCTTTCTGGAGGCACACCTGGCACAGCTTGGTGGGGGGTCAGGGGTTTGGGCATTGGCGGGCCCAATGTCCGTCCTTACCACATTTAAACAAGCCCCCGGTGGGGCTGCATCTGATTTTGTGTGAGGATCTGTCAGCCCCTCCCCTGCCGGCCTCAAGGAAACTACCAGAGCCTGGGTTTGCAGTGCAACCTTTTGTTGTAATCTGGACTGTCCGGCTGATGCAGCCACTTCCTTTCAGGTGTTAAAGACTGTAAAGGCCGTTTTTACCAGATCCTGTAATGGGGTTTGTGGCCCCTCTTCGCTTTAAAAATTTTTTTAATTACATCTGGAGCTGTCTGAGAAATAAAGTGGAAGGCCAAGACTGCTGCCCTGGTAGGGCTCCAGTTTTGTAAACTGGGTGAGGGCCTCCTGGAGGCGGTTTAGGAAAAGGGCAGGATTTTTATCCTTCCACTGTGTTACCTCTTCATGTTTTTCAAAGTTGACTACCTTAAGAGTGTCATAGACTCCCGCCATTTACCCACACGTCATTGAATTTTTTGCTTTGACATTCAGAACACTGGGCAGAAATTGCATCACGTCAACACCCACCGTGTGCCTTTGCGATGCTTTGTTTTAATTAAACAGTCAGATTCCCCTGGTTTGCACCAGTTCTAAGCGGGGCTGTGCGCACACCGCCGGGTTTTTTTTTTCTACGCCCAGGGCACTCCCACCGGGGACCCAGGCCCGACCCGCGGTCCTCTCCATCCGGGTCCACTCCCGCATAGCTCCTTTTTTTCCCTTTCAGTGGGGGTTGGGGATGCCCTGCTTTTGGATGCAGTGGGGGGTGGGGGGGCAGGGGAAGGAATCCGCAGCATGGCCTGGGCACCCAGGGGCCCAGCGAGCAGCAGCTATTTTGGACTGAAGCCGGACCCTTCCTTAGAGCCAATCCTTATTTTGAAGTTACGGATTCAGCTTGCCGACTTCCCTTACCTACAGTGTTCCAACATGCCAGAGGCTGTTCACCTTGAAGACTTGGGTACTGCCCTGCGCAATATTTAAACCCTTTGCCCTGGATTTCAAGGGCCAGCGAGAGCTTACCGGACGCCGCCAGAACCACGACACTTTCCAAGGAGCTTTTTGATTTGGGACAGGTCTTGGGGGTAAAACGGAACATGGATCCGTAGCACACCCTCAGCCCCTGCTAATTCCCTGAGGCAGGAAGTGGGAACGAGTATGCGCTGACACAGGAGAAGAGATAGGGGAGACAGAGGTGGCAAAATGGGCGGGACTGGTACAGAGGGTCGAAGCCGTCCAGCAGCAGAGGGGAAAGATGACAGCGGAGGGAGGGGGAGTGGCTGTGTACAGGGTGGTGGAGGCTGGGAGTGAGGAGGAGGATTAGGAATCAGTCGAGGTGGGAGCCCAAGAGTGTCTGGAGTTTCAGTAAGCACAGAGGACAGTACTAGGGTATGGTAGGGAGAGTCGGGGTTATTTTTAAGTTTTGATTTCGCTGCCATGCTTTTTTCAGTTGATTTAGCTAAAAAGACCTGTGAGGTAGAACACTGGACGCATAGTGATCCCAGAAAGCCTGAATGTACAGAACCTCCGACCATTTTCCTGAGTGGTGGCAAAAATTGTCCAAGTCAGTGAGGATGCCAAAATTAAAAGTGCCCTTGGAGGGCCACCTAGATGGATTGTCTAAGGGGTATTGAGGCCACTGGGTGGTACACAGAAAGACTAGCCTTTTTTTATGGAGGCTTTGGGAACAACACAACAACAAGCCAATGACCAAAAAACACACAAAACAAAACACAAAACAAGAAAGAAAAGTTTGTAGTTAGTTCAAGGACTGTTTTTGGCATGCCGTGAGCTCTTATCTGTACTAATGTACATGCTCTGGTCTAGCCAGAACTGAAAGGTAGGACTAGGGTCATGATAGGAAGCCTCAAGGAACCAGAGGAATATTGTGTGTTTCATTGGTGCTATATGACACCCTGGTTGACTTATCCCTTCCTTGTGACCCTTCTTTGAGGGGATGTTCCATTGTCTACAGATAGGTTTTGGGTCTCTGCTCTAACCACCTCTCCTTGTTCACAACAATATGTTTTTTGTTTGTTTGGGGTCTTTTGATGCCTGTTACCTGATCCCATCGATACCTCATGATCACACAGGCTGGTGTGCTTCTTCCATGTGGGTGTGTTGCTTCTGTGCTAGATGGCTGCTTGTTTAACTTCAAGCCTTTAAGACCTTAGATACTATATCTTTATAGCCAGCTAGCATCAGCTTTCTTCACCACATTTGATTGTGAACCCATTTTGTCTTTAGTGATCATGTGGGATATGGTGAGCATCACAGAATGTCAGGGTGTTAGAACAAAATATTCCTGCGTTGAGGAGGGCTTGAGCAGAGGCCCCAAACTGTCCATTTCTTCAATGTATTGTCATATAACTATATGTACATAATCCAATACTTCTATTTTTTCTATTTTTATGATTTAATATATTTACATGAGTGCACACCTGTGTTTATACCTCTATTCATAGCTTTTCTTCCTAGATTGTTCCTCTATATCCTTTTACCTTCCTCCTGCCCCACCATCACACTCACACTTCTTCTGCCTTTTAGTAAATCCTCTCAGCTAGATTGCTGTTGCTCCAAAACCTCCAGAATCTCTATGCCCTCCTTGTTGTTGATTTTAATTCCCTAGTTGTTCCCCTGTCTGTGGCATTGTTTGCTCATTGCTCTCTTCCCCCATCTTCTCCTTTCACTAAGTCCCTCCTGAACCGCTGGTCCCATTGCTTTCTCTTTGGGCTTGCTTCCCATACCTGTCTTACACAGGTAGGCAAACCAACAATAATGTAGGCAATACAAAAAAAAAGAAAACAAAAGATTGACTAGAAAGATAAAAAAAGTAAAAGAAAAAGACAGAAAAGTGGGTGAAGGGAGACATCGGACAGTGTAAGATAAGATAAAATACTAATAATTTATAAATTATCAAGGGTTCATGATGAATGGGGGAGAGGGGAGTGAGAGGGGAAGATGAGGAGCTGATACCAAGGGCTCAAGTAGAAAGTAAATG